GATCGCCGAAAGCACAATCGTTAGCGAGCGTAAGGGGAGCGGCTCTAGTCGAAGCAACTTGTTGACGTGCGCAGCAGTTCCTGTCGGCCGAGTTTCATCAAGTTTCTCCTCGGAGACCCTAGCTACTGTGGATTACTCAAACCGATCCCGAATTAAGAGCGATTTCCAAGAAGCACAGGCCATAAAATCGGAGAGCGCACTACGGCCATGTCGTCGTCGTTGTGGTCCTCTGTGCTTCTGTTCTCATGCATCAATCGAACGAGCCGAAAGTCGGAGGATGTAACACAGCTGAAACGGGAAGAACTACCGGTCGGATGCGCATACAAAACAGATTCCGAAAAATCGAGAACGAGCATCGAAAGTTGAGATCACTAGCTTTGTTTTACAAGCGACACAGACGCCCGTCCGGGAGCACTTCCTCTTCTGCCGAATCAGCCCGTAAGATGATACGATCAGCTAATTGAACTGCTGGTCTTACTTTACACGTAGCGTCAGACACTGCTCCCTATCGGGAGTTCGAGGTAGAATTCGAAACGGAGCAGTAGAGCCTGATTCTGTCCTGACGGCCAAGCGTCCGAGGCGAACGACAATTTTGATGTATGGCTGCTTATGCTCTCGTTGCTCTAATGATATTCGAGCGCCGCCCACCGCTTCATCATTCTGGACTCAGGCAAGCTCTCGACGGTGCTCGACGATGACAAGTCGCCGATATTGTGCATTTTTTGAAATCGCTGGTGGTAGGAGGTGGGATCCAGGGTCAAGACGACCGGAATGAATAGGGAAGCGGGGGATGGCTCTCCTTTACCTGGGAGCCGGGAAACGTCCCGGTCGATTCCGGCGACACGGCGGACACGGGTCGATCGACAGCGACGGCGGTCCGCCGCCGAGAAATGAAGAGAAGTGGATCCGCTTCTAGGGCAAACAAGTGTCAGAGAAGTTGTTAAAAGGCACAGGTAACGTTTACTGTGGGCGGCATAAAGCGATCACGGTGAGGAAGGAATGGCAGTGGGTGAAAACGCAGCTATACGCGACTTGATCATAAACTCATTTGAAATATGGCCTATAGTAAATAGAAAACCTACCTCTTACCCCTACAGCGACGACACTAAATGTATAAATCATAGAAAGAAACCTCCGTCCGGTGAGTTTCTCCCAGCTCAGATGTACCGGAGACTCTGCAGACGGCAGCTCCGCCGATCCATCGGTCGCTCCGGAGCGTCTCCACCCATCAGGGACTCCAATCGGAGTCCTTAGGACGGAGGTCTTCATGAATCTCACTCGATGCTCAGGATTACGCGTGAATTGGATTACCAGTGTTGATTGAGAACCTTACCGATTCGAGTGTTCCCTGCATTGCATCACGTGTGGCGGGGTAGTATCCATGTTCCATTTATTCAGAGGAATTGCTAAGACCTGAGGCTGAGCCCCTCTTTTTCTGACCACGTCATTGATCAGTGGAATACAATGTTCACGCTCAAGAGCCAGAGTAGGTGAGTCTTCCTTGTCCCTGAGTGCGTGCGTTTATGCTTTTTTAGAAGATTGACTGAGTGAGAGATGTGGGGGCAGCGTCCACATTCCGCAGCTCAGGATCTCATGAATTGTCATGATTCGTCATCAACTGTTAATTGCATGAAAGAATGCTGCCTCTCCGTACTCCACGGGATCGTGTCGTAACCAGGGACCCATAGCGCCGAAATGCGTAAGGACGGTATAACATGATAATGCCCTCAAAGAAAAAAATTGGGGAGCGACTACATATCTGTGGGGAAACCTAAGAAAGATCCGGTCACATCTCTGGAAAATTGTAGACCATGTTCTGCTCGATAGCTTGATGGATAGCAGAGAAAAACAGCGCAATGATTCGAAAATTTCATGCATGTATTTTTCCGGTGTTTTTTCGGGCATCGATCGCCACCTTGATGACGAGTGTCAGTCCATAATCATGTTGACTTCTGAGTGAACGTCCACGGTGAGCCGGAATCCCCCTTCGAATGGGATACTGGCCTGGGAAACGAATCAGAGCCAGCGGATGAACACGAGCTGGCACCGGAGCTGGCACCAGCTCACCAATATTTAGCGGACGGACTTCGGTGCTGGGATTTCCGGCCCAAGCGGCGCTATTGCGATATCTCACAAACCCGAACGCAATATCGCTCCCGAGGCGCCGGATACTTTTGCTCGGCTGTCCCGTCGCTATCTCGTCGGAATCGTTGCTGACCCGAGCCTTGGACTCCTCACCCCTCGGCCTATTAGATAGAGATGCTTGCAATCAATAATCTTATCGGTTTGCTATTCATAATTTGCTCCCTCGTCAGTCTCCCGCTCGCTCTCGGTGTGTTTTTTAGCCTCTAGCCCCTCATTATCTGGACTCTCCACAGGACAAGCGTGAACCAAACAACATACCATCATGGGTAAAATCTATTGCACGGCTTGGCAAACATGAGCGATAGCCGCTTTCGAGGAAGGGCCTCTCCCCATTCGGTCGGCTAACATCCGTTTGCTGATAAGCGAGACTTTGCACATTGGTAAAGCATTGTTCCACCATGGACTCGTCAATTCGGAGCTCTCCTATAAATCATCTGAGTACGACAACGAAAACGACACGATGCCTGCAGTCTGCCGTCTGGCTCTTCGGCCGGATGGCTGTCTGCCTTCTTGTCTTAGCCGGCTAAAGCTCGCTTCTCTCTCGGGACCAGGCTATGGGGCAGACGCGGCGGCGAGCCTCTTTATGACGAAGTATCCAAAGTCTGAAACTTCGCTAAAAACGCACTTAAGCGTAATACGATGAATAACTCATTTTCTGTGATTGAAATCCTCTACGCCTCCTCGAGCCACCTTTCGGAACGTCTCGGTGATACGGCGTGCGTCGAAGTGAGCTGCTGAAGAACATTCAAGAGTTCATTCATTGAATTTCAATGTACCGTGTGCTCGTGAATATATTCCCCATCCCCCGGAGGCAGCTTCCCGAGAGCTCAGGAGAATCTGCTCCAAGATGAGAGGAGATCCGGTCTTGAGTATCGTGCCACTGACTGGAACAATCTGACCAAGGCACGTCATGATCCCCCCGGTGTCGGGAGCGCTTCAATAGATCTCAGCGATGCTCTCTTGCTCGTTTCGGATAGTCGTCACAGGATCCTAATTGGTGTGAGAGGAGCGCCCGTGGTTGTGTTTGCGTGATGCAAGAGAGAAATCTGTCGGGAGTTCGAACTTTGAAGATAAGTCGGTAGATGATTCCGATCCGGGAGTCCAGTCGAAAGGCGGCTCAGAAGCGAGCAAACGAGAGAGTCGACAACGGGGGTTCAGACTCGACAGAGAAAAAGTTTATGACAGACCTCTCGACCATGGACCGGCAGATGACGAATCGGCCTATGAAAGTCGTCAGAAATTTCCGCGCCTTGCAAACATCATGAGCATCTGCTCCAAACCATCACTCGAAGCTTTCGTTTAGAGTAGACACGCAAGGAAGCCGTGTCTTCGTACCGAACAAATACCGTACGACCGAACACACATCCCACGACGTCGAGAAGCGTGAGGTGTCGGCGCCTTGGGATATCCAAATTGATCCATTGCGAGCTCCGTGAGGCTACAGCGCGTGCTTTGAGACATCAGAATCCGACCAGAACGGAGGTCACTCCATCAACGATCTTAAGTTTTCCAACCGAATTTCGTCCAGAGTCTAGAGCTCTTCATTTTTTCCGAGCTCATTTTGTGATTCTCTTCTTTGTCTCTAATCTCCAGAAACAAATCTGCTCATGCTTGTCCTGAAGATATTCTTTCTCATTCGAGCGGTAGACCCCGGGAGATTTGAGCCAAACAGAGAGGAATTGGCTTGGAAGGTTTCGACACGAATGCTAGTTGAGAAGCGGATTCGAGTTTGGTTTCGGGCGAAAAAGTCCCTTAGAGCGCGGCGGGGATCGCGTTTCTCATTGCTCTAATCTAGGGAACTGGCTCCGCGCTCAGGACGACTGCAAATGTCGTCATAACGACGTAGGCGACGGGAGGAGAGGTGTCGATCGTAGAGTAGGCGGTAAGCAAGCCCTAAAAGAAGATTGCAGCTACTATCTAGGACCAATGAGTGCGCGGTCACTGATAACGAACGCGAGCGAAGACATGTGATGACACGTCTAGGAGACCAGATGCTCTTGGACTATGTTGCCGAGGACGATCCTAGCGACTATCCTTCGACAGTCTGCGACTCCTCGTCCGCTCCAAGCCGCTGATACCCATCGCGATATGACGCCGACTTCTTGGTGGAATTTCCCGCGTGTTGTAAACCGCAGCGAACTTACAGCAGCCTTGAGTGAGTTCTGCCGAGTGCGTTCGACCGCGACATGAATCACCCTGACGGGGAAATCCGCCGAATACCTACATAGATATTCGGTATGGACAGTTTCGTCTTCCGCTGAGGTTTTCGGTTAACGTGAGGCCGATATCGTTCGAGAGGCCAGAAAGCGAAACCGAAAAACCAGCCGGCCGAAGCGAACCGAACCCCTGACAGAAAGAATAAGATTGAGTCGTAAAACGCAGGCAGACACAACAGCGCCGTCAGCAGAGGAAAAAAGCTGCATTCACCGCACACATCGTTCATAGCTTGAGTAAACGAACCGAAATAAGGGGAACAGAAATTCTTCGGTGAGCTGCGTCGACTCTCCAAAAGCTTCGAGGGGCATCGTTTACACTTTTCCCCCTGGCGGCCATGCTCCTGTCATCTGCCCGCGGGGCGGATTCCACAAGCGAATTTCCCTTCGCGGCTCGATTCTATGTAGCTGAAAGCTCTGCTCAATGTTACGTGTACTTCAATGCTCGTTTGCTTTCTCCATATGAGTGTTAGTTTATTCACGGGGCCACCCCAGAGGAGCCGGAGGCGACGCTCGCCGAGCGATATAGCTCAAGGACTTCGCTGAGAATCAGACGAGCTCCGGTTGGAAGAGTTGATCATTTGGATCTGCGCTCGATTCAGCTTCGACGAGAGCATCATTTGTGGATCCCGCCCGTAAGTTTCTCCCAAGCGGTTTTCGAGTCTTTCTTGAACCTGAAAGTGTCCATCCGCTTCGAACATCGGTGGACTACTTTCGGGACGAGCTTTCCGACAACCGGCCAATGCGTTCCCGTGGTCATGTTTGCAACGAAGACCTCGCCGAGCAACCGGCTCAAGATGTAAGCATCCTCGACTGCACGTCTCGCCGAGCAGAAATCTTTACTGCAAGCAAGAGGACGATGAATAGAGGCACCGCAGTCCGCCGACTCTGATTCCAATCCTGTCCTTCTGATTGTGCGTGGAGTTGGTCGGGGCGTCGAGCACTTACTTCAAATGCCAAGAACACCTGATTCCGGTGTGCACGCCGTCGCTTTGCATGCGGACCCCCGAGGTTCCTTGGAGACCGAAGAATTGGTTCCTTATGTCGGCCACGAGGAGTTTCTTCGCATTTGTTTCGCGTTCAATCATGTGGTGCAGGAACAGTACCTGGTCAAGGGTCTGAATTTTGTGATCGACCTTCTCGAAGAAAAAATTGAGGCATGAGTCGATTTTCGTCATCTGAGACTCGCGAACGAGTATTCCCCCGGCGCGACCGATGAACTGCACAATTTCTTTGGCGATTGTGGTATGGTCCTTGCAGGTCAATATCGTACCTGTGAAATGACAGGAAGTAGACAGCGAGACAGTAAATAATTGTTAGGGAGATCATATCCAGAGCGCTTGATGCCTACAGGCATGTTCTCGAGCTCTTACACCAATCTTTGAACTCTTTCGGGACGACATGCTTCGCGTCGCCTACGTCCGGATCGAGATATACTTGATAGAGTTCTTTAACACCGCGAGATATGCTCCAACGAACTAAACAAATTTCGCCCGGATAGAACACCTGGAAAACTTCAAAGATCAGTGGAACCCCACCGGAGTGCCAAGCAACACGGCAACAGGGCTCGGGCTAGGCATAGCTCGGGCTGATAACGATCTAGATGCGGGAGGAATCCTACCTCCGAGTTTCCTGCAGACTTGAAGAACGGGGTTATCGAGCACGAGATGAATTCCCGCGACATTAATGAAAGTCGTTCAGAGCCGCACCAGTCCAGGAACTCCTCGACTTTCTGTAGCATTTGCTGTGATCGGCTCTTTAGCTCGCTGGAAAACGGAGTTGAGTGAGCCTGGTTCGGGTCAGAGTCACGGAGATCAGATCTCGGAAATAGATATGACCGCAAGGAATACTGGTGCGTGTGAATCGGATTGAGCCAGTCTGAGTATATGCAGCAGAAGAGCCTCACAAGGGCACTGTGTTTTTTACTGGAATCCTAATCTGGGGAGGAACCAATCTTGCTTCCGCGTTCTTCCTTTCCGCGACTCCTTTCCAGTGATTTTTTCCTGTAGCGTCGAGTTCCGCCCATTTCGCCGCAGCGTACGAGTGAATTCGGTCCGGAGCCATGTACACTCCCGTTTCTCTCCTGGAATCATCGGTTGTTAGCACTCCCATAGGTTGGTATCATTCATACCTGATCGTGGGTCGGCAGGCTCCATCTGCCTGGATCAGTCGAGGAGTCAAAATCGCAGCGAGCAGAAATTCTAGAGGTCCCGCTAGTATGTGGTCGTTTTCCCTTGTTTCAGCTCTCTATGCATACGATCAGCTATTTTCGAAATAGGTTACGGACGCATGCGGCGGACGACCTTCGAGAACGAGGGTGCTCAAAGAGTCGAAGAGGACCCGGATGGGGTTACGCTTACCGGTGTTCTTCTTTCAAATGTTGCAGAAAAAGGTAAAACGGTGCCGCTTTAGGCCTCGGCATCTTGATCCGTTCGGGCGCACGAAACCTCGTGATGAGCGCGCTACTCGACTCTCGACACGAAGCTCGTCCTAAACAAACTATCTCCTCGGAATCGCGCGCACGCGCGGGTGACACGTGGATATGTAGGGCACCTCCGGAACTATGATGCAGATTTATGAGATTCCGGATGTACAAGCGTAAAGTGTGGCCCGGTGTTCCTTGTGGTAGAGAAGTCGCAGCAAGTGAAAATTCGAGAAGCGGTCGTTCCGCTGCCTCTTTCGAACGAAAACAAAATGCTGCCAGCGGCAGCCAACGGCCGCGGCAGAGTCTCTGTCAATCGGTTGAGGGATTCCACTTTCGTAGAACGGCTTCTCGGGGACCGTAAACAAATGAACGCCCTCGCATGATACTGTTCGTCAAACCTGACGATAGCTTAACCTATGATCACCTCCCCCGTAGTACCTTCTTGAAGCAGAATGAGATCGTATCAACGTATATCTCCGTCATCCCCGTCCGTGATAGTGTCTTGAGAGTCGAGTGAATCTTTCCGTACACGGCTCAGGAGAAGAAAAACCAATATTCGGTTTCAAAAATAGTATCGAAACCTTGACGAGGACTGCTGACCAGGGCTGAGAGTAGAAGATTCCTGTCGATAAAGGGGAAATGCGATCACTCTCTTCCGAGGCAATGAGTGGTTCATGCCTGAGACGCGACGGAATAATATTTTCTGGTTGACGTCACCGTTTATTCTCCCATTCCACTTGCTTCATTATATTTCATCCACGTGCAGAGCGGTGCAGGCTGAGTGCAACCATGATGTCGTTTGACCCGAGTTTACCGGAAGCATCCGATGGAATAGGTGAATATCCGTCAGACACATGTCGGTTACGCTTAATTATCCTTGATGGAAGCTTTACAGTTGCTTGATCTCTTGAGCCGCAACGACTCTTCGGTGTGGGTACTGTCTACAATATTTACGTTTTCTCCTCGTACAGATCCTTATGTTATCATTTCCATATTCTCTACTCATTTACACGGTATGAACACTCGCTAACATAATACGGTATTTTTCGACGAACCCTCGTCTCTGACCGATTACATATAATAAAATAAATATGAATGAACTGATCCGAGTAACAGATGATTTATGAGTCAACTGAGCGGTGAGCACCTTCCGAAGCGTCGGTAAGAATACTGGGTGACATTCGACACCCTGATGAAGATCCTTTTGTACTGGTTCATCTTGTCGATAAAGAAGATGAATCCGAGATAGAGCAAGAAAAGCAGGTTATATTCCCAATTTGTTCAGAGCTCACTCAGGCGCTCACTTTTCTTCGGAGGTGTTCGAGTTTCAGCTTTCTCAATCGTCGGGAGACGTTCTCTCCACGTGTTACTGGCGGAGCCGACGGACCACAATAAGTGCCCTACATCCCATCAAACCAGAGCCGATGTGTGTCGCATGTTATAATGTGTATGAATCTCAATACAGTGAGACAGGCCTATACAATCAAAAAACGAGAATCAGACCGAATCCGAGATGGGAAATTCTGAGGGATGGAGAGCATCATGTGTTTCGTGAATTCCTGAGTTATTACCTCGACAGCCAGACGCTCCCTCGCGCTGCGGATCATTGGTGGGAAGATGGGGCTACATCATCGCGGGAATCGATTTTCCCGACGGTGGTTATTGAGAGTGTAAAGGGTATGGGGCTGAGGTAATGACTAAAATAATATTTCTAATACAGCTGACTTGATTGGATCCTGCCTGATACAGGCAGCTTGTCCGTCCGTCTGGCGGAAATCGTACAAATAGAGGTAGAAAATAATGATTTCTCGATTTAATTCTTGGAGGGGAGCAGGCGCTCCTCTCTGAGACGCAAACTCTCGAATGCCCACAGACTGTCATTTCCGTTCCTCTCGGGACTTTTAGAGCATCTTCCCGCTAGTCCTACCGGAAGATTCTCTCCGGGGACTTTGTCCCCACCTGACGCATAAAATTTCCATTAGCGTTCGTTCGCTTCCGGCGAGACAACAGATATAATGCTGGGGGTAAGATCCGTCAGGATGGATTCCGACCACAAAGGTGACCATCGATGTAATTTTTGGTCAGAAAAGAGGGGGGGGGTGAGTTGATTCCACTGGTAAAACGGAAAGTTTCCGCTAGACTCATGACTGTTGGAATCATAATCGTATCGTATCATTGGCTTGTGTCGACCCGTAAATCCAAGACAATTGAGTCACACACAGAATACCGATCACGATATATTTCTCGCTTCGATGAGTATCATAATTTGAAGGAATTACTCGGAAATCGAGCCTTCAATTCTCTTGAGCTGTGCCTTGAGCGATGAGCACTTGAAACCCTCATCGAATGTCGGGATGAAAGGGTGTCGCGTCGGGGCAAAATCGCAATAACCGAGTTCATTCACGGAAGGTGATCAACGCTGATTTCGGAATGTTCTGCTGCGAATCAGATTCCTCCTCAAGAATCGCCGATTTGGTAATGCATGTCTCGGGAGCGGTTCTTGAACTATCGTCCAGCTGACCTGAGACTATTCCAACGAAACTACGCATCTCGAGCGATCCGAGGCCCGAGAGTTCATCGCTACCCTGATAAGTATAGGTGATGCCAGTTTGTGAACATGATCTAGAGTAATTCGGTAGCCTCCATATATTATTGTCGTTCTAAACGTAATAATCTTCTTCGCTAGTCGTCTATGTAGGTCTGACGTCTGACTTAGTCGATTTTACTTACTTAGGATCTACGAGTTTATATGCATGTCAAGCCAAGTTGTTCTTTCGTCAACTCAAATGATGATTCTGTAGTCAAAACAAAGTTCCATCACAGCGATTCGACCCTGAGGGCCCTCGGCTTGTTTTGCCGCGCTCTTCTCGGTCCGCATTGACCTGTCGAGATGAAATCTCATCCTTCGCACTCGGTCGTCGCCGCTGCTGATTTATCAGCTCTAAACTTGACCAGAAACGCTTACGAGTCTGGAATCTTCGTGCCCCGTTTCGCAGCCCGGAGCAAGTCGGCGTACAATGTTTCCCTGTCGTTCGGATGTTCTGACTCTAATCCCTGTCCTTTTTGAGCTGACTGTCTTTGTCTTTCTCTTTGGGCTCCTTGGCTTCCTTCGATGGGACGACCGACCAACCGATACACATCTTGTCGAACCCACACGTAACAAGATCAACTTTTGATTTGCAGCCTTCGCTCATCCATGCTGTGGCGCAGACCATACGCCGATGACCCTGTTCGGGAGGGAAAGCGACGTTAGCTCGGAACGTTCTCGTTCGATAGCAATCGGGAACATACGAGAAGGAAAATCCCAATCGATGTCGACATCTCAATGTCGCAACGGATTTCGTCGTCTGAACGTTCTCTAGAGCTTACGATTCTGTTGTTTCGAGGAAGTCTGGCCAAGCGCTGGCCATTGAGATCGTACAGTCTCACGTGCCGGTTGTCGTGAGGTATGGCGATGATGTTCTGCGCCGAAACCGAGAGCCGGTTCACCGGAGAATCGAGTCTGACTGCCGAGAGCGGACTCCGCATGTTTCTCAGCTCCCATACTTTCACGGTGCGATCGTCCGAACCGCTCACCACGCGATCGCCCGCGGCCGTGAACGCCACGGAACTCACCGATCTGGATAACATATAGCAAGGTCAAACGAGGCAGCAGGGTGTACAAAAGAAACGGAGGTTCTGTCGAGTCGAATTGATAGCCGTCGATACGGATCCCGTATCACTAGGTACTGTCTTGAAATTCGGCGAACGGCTCTGCGCGTCGGGCTCGCAACACTCACTCGGTGTGTCCCTGGAACACTGAAACGGAATGGATCGCTTCCCGGAAATCCCATAAACGGAACGTAGTGTCTTTCGATGAAGTGACCACGAGTCTTTGCGATGGATGCGCGGCGAGATGAGTCAATTCGAGATCGTGCCCAATGAGTTGCGTGACGAGGTCTCCCGTATTGACGTCGTATACGTACGCCATACGGTCCCAGGACGCTGTGATGACCTGCGGATCGAACGGTTCGCGTCATCATTACGGTGGGAATTGAAAGTCCTTTCGTGCGGAAATCAACACGCGCGACATCTGAGTGGAATTCGGAGATGGATTCTGCAAGACTCGATCGCTCACTTGATCGCTGTTAACAAGCCAGTCGGCAGCAATGACGACGCTCGAATGGCCCGTCAACTCCAGTACAGGACTTCTGACCAAAGTGGCATCTGTCAGGGCTTCTCCATCGTCGCGTTCAGCGCTGTCGATTTCGTCCTCAGAAGAATGAGTTTTCTGAAAACAATGGAGTCTGTCAGCTCCGTTCAGGGCCAGATTTCACCCACCATGTGCGTGATCGGGCGTCCCACCGGACATGTGCCCAGGGGCACACCCTGCTCCGAGAAGATAGGAAGGGAGAGAACAAGCAAGTTTGACTCCAAGTAGGAAATGAAGTCGCGCCTGCCCGCGGCTTATGTTTCAGCTCCGAGACCGAAAATTCGTGGCCGGACACGGCCTCCAGCATTCTGGCCCTCCAAATGAGCTCCCGCATATGCCACTCCCAATCCTCTTAAATCAGCTCCAATGACGTGATACCCGGATTTCTCAAATCTTTACGGAGAAGTTAATGATTCGCGAGCCCGCCCGCCCCCCCCTCCTCTGTACCAGCTCACGCGGGAGTGTGTGTGTGTGTGTATGCAAATCCGAGACGGCAGAATTCTGTCCGTAACCGGCTCCAATAGTTCTCTTATTTCGATTGCGTTCCTTTCCTATTCCTCACTCGGTGGAGAGTGCGCGAAGCTCTGGACGTTGCTTTTTTCGCGGAGCCGATCCCATCAGCTGTGCCCTCATCCCATCAATTTCATCATCTGTTTCCCACCTGAGAAGTCAAAGGGTGGATGACGATTGCCGGGACGGTAGCGGTGGCAGAAACAGAGTCAGGATTCGAAAGAGAGGAAATCGAGAATTTGGGAGTGAGAAAGAAAAAGAAGCCACACCCTCGCATTGATATTTGAATCGTCGCTCGGCCGCGAAGCAATGCCTCTGCCGTCCCTGGCGCATCGAGTTCGCATCCTCGCAAACGCCAGACCGGGAATCCTGTGGTCGATTGCTGTAGCAAACGATTGCCGATAACCGCGACCGCTCGAGCCCAGGGCTACGGCAATCAACTAAGAGGGAAGTAGATCGTCGGATCGCAGCATCAAATTGCGCGCTTTCAATGATTCGTACGCGTCCTGTGCCGCACAGAGAGCGCAACGAGAGTCGATCGGCATCGAAGCGTAAATCGAAAGAGAGCCGGACACGATATCGGTCGGCGGCCTCGTCGTCATCGTCGACCGCAGCATATGCAGCCTTCGGGCTCCGACTCGAGATAGCGATTCTAAAATTAGAAGATGAATCGAAATATTTAATTGACAGGGCGCTTTTATAGCTCGCCGCTGCTCCTGAGTATCTCGGACTCGAACACGCTTCCGGATCCCACGAATCGGACACTGAACCAAATCTAGACCTTGCGTTTGGTTCTGAATGACCCTGAGGTCGACGCTCGGTCCGGAATGTTCGCACGGGACGTATGAGGCTCGGAAGCGGCCCGGAGGAATACGAACGTGCTCTAGACGTTGTGTGACGTTGCATATCACAGACTAAGTAAACCGCGCGAGGCTTTAGCTCTGCGATGGAAAGACGAGTGCTGTCGTAGGAGGCCGTGCCCAGGAGTTCTTGTCCGAAGCTCGAGTTTCTTAGTTCTTTTCCCAGAGTGAATCTTGTTGGTCAGGGCTGGCAAGCTTGTGGGCTCTTCAAATTGCCCTATGGTTCCGAGGAGCAGCAATGTTCATTTGACGGTATTATTAGTTTTCTACTCACGGCAAGCTCAAATACGTTGGCAGCGTTAGACAGAAGACTCGCCCGCCATATGTGCGCAGTCTTATCTCCGGAGGCGGTCAACATCAACTGTTGCGATGGATGGAAACGGACCGAGTTGACGCTCCCTCCGTGTCCCGAGTATTGGAGCACGCAAACCCCAGTCTCCACGTCCCATAGGCGCGCTGTGTGATCTAATAGAAGAAGGAAGCGTTTGGGGGAGGGGTTATTCTGGGAAGGCCGAGTCTCGTACCCGCTAAAGTAATAGAGAGAGTCTCATCTCATGACGGAACAGCCCAGCTGTCCAGAGAACGGCGTCCTCTCCGAGGTTTCCCTGCGGGAGGCATCCCAGGAAAATCATAACATCGATACAGCTCAAGAAGATCGGAATCATGGACTCGGAGGGTCCGATCCCGGCGCCGAATGTCCTGCGTTGTATGGAACTAATAATGAGAGAGCGGGAACTTACCCGCACTCGCGGTCGCAATGATCGGTACCGACGAGTTTGAAGGAGAGGTCACTTCCCAGATCCCATCTCGATGGCCCGAATATCGTGCCAACGGTGTACACGTCAGCTGAGAAGTCTTGAATGAAGAGACGATTCGCGAGGTGGATGCTTTCAATTTGTACGTTGACTTGATCTTTTGGCTCAGCTGAGATCCTGCCAGTGGAAGAGGACGGAAAAAACTAATTAGACCCAGCTAGCCGAAAACGTTCCCCGTCGACTAGCAGATCCGCAAGCCATTAAATTGAGCGGCGACAGCGGCGGCGAAGTCCCCGATCCGCTTAGATGGAAGCCCCAACCTCATCGGCGGAAATCGCAGAGGCAGCAGCGGCGGCTAGAGGTTTAGTCGATAGTCGCTTCATTACTAGCAGGCGGTCACCCGGAGAGCGAAGCGACTTCTGTACGCTCGCGGGACGGCTCACACGTACTCTCGGCGGCCACCTGGCCGAACGGCGATCCGGTAGGCCGCCGTTGGCCCGTTCCGCGTGGCCATCAAGAACACACAAGCCCGTTCTCGGTCCGCTCATACGTCGCTCGCTTGACATCGCAGCGTCCATCAAAGCCACCCTATCGAACGCACTGATGTAAAACACTCGCTTGGGCCTGTTTAATAAAAGCCCGGCCACGGCAACCCTGACATTGGAAGAGCTGACCCTGGCAATCCTTCTGTTTGACCTCCAACTAGATGTCCTCGAAAACAGCATACCAGCGAGTGTACGTCCCTGACCCACTCCCGCGTGGAAATGTAAAACCTTCCGACTGGAACTTACCTTGTTTCGCTTTGCTTTTCGTCGTCTGTGCTTGTCCGTCGACCGTCTCGATAGAATCTTGCGCCAATTGCTGGAGGGAACGAAGATGTCCACTCGCAGGGCCCGTCAGGGGACCTCCTCTTTCCATGAGGAGCTGTTCACTCAACATTTCCACTCTGTCACGCACTGCAAGACAAGACATGAGGCTCATGGTGGGACTCTCAAGGACAAGAACCACAAGCGAAAAGCTGTCACCGCTTGTGGATGTCTCAGCGGCAAACACTCCTCAGACACCATTTCTCTGAACAGATGCGCAAACTTCCGGTGAGCTCGTTTGTATCCTGACGCAACTGATTTTCATGTACCTCGCGTAGGCTTAACAAGTTCCCTATGACGCAGAGCTCCCTCCCTTTATCGCTGCTCAGGCTCCGGTTCCGAATGCGGGTCTCCTCCAGGCGTCCTTCGACGGTGATACACCGTGTGTTCAAACATACAGTGCCAGAATTCCGTTCAACCATCACTGAGTAATCGGAATTTCGCGATTCCCCTGTGCCATCGGGAGTCACACGCGAACACGGCACGGGTCGTGGCTACAGACTAGCGTCATACACGTCGGAAGACAGCCCAAGCAGCCGACCATGGGGAACCATCTCGCTCTGAGGAATCTGAGATCTATCGGAACGACTCCGCTCAGCATGTGAGCGTGATCAGGAGCGTGCCTGGCTCCGCCTGATTCGTTCGCGTGCTCCCTGCACTGCCGGTGCGAGCGGGCTCGCCGACGGGCAGCTCGGTGACCAGCGAGTTTGCCTAGCTCTGGCATCGATCATTGAATTCCTGAGGTCGAGAGCATTCGAGCCTTGCGTCATCGGCAGGCAAGGATTCCGTCTGTGACTGAAGTTTGCACGACACGGATCATCAAGCGTTCTCCGATCCGTTCGAGCCATTTTCCCCAGCCTGATGGAAACCGTATACATCCACCCTCGAATTCCGCGCTCAAAGGGTAGCGCTGCGTGAGAATCGGCCCACGACTGAGGAAGGAGCCGCGGGTGAAGATGAACGTCAGCGAGATAGAATACTAGCACAGTCGAGCCTTGATAGTATCAACTGATGACTACCGAAATTCGTTCGAATGAGGGAAATTGATGTACAATATGTTACATGCGGATGCATTCGAACCAGGACTATATCAGCCATTCTCCAGAATCTTTAAAATCAAAAACTCCAGAGAATCGAGGTGAATTTCCGGGAAGTTGATATAAGCGGTGTCCTACTGTATGAGAGATATCTGTGCACGACGCGTTCCGCTAATATTCGACGAAACTCATCAACGGCCCCTCATTTTAGTAAAACGTAGCTGACGCAGATTCGCGTAGATTCATCTTTTCGTGAATCCGTAGTCGACAGTCGTCACCGAATTGCGTGCCGCCTACCGACATCGAGCGGCACGCGATTCAGTCTCAAGGTCGCGCGGAGAATGAATTATACTTACATGTGAGATTTTCCAGGCAGAGATTGTCGAATTCCTTCTCTATGGCTCCGAAGAGCTCATAAAGCCGCCGTCTGCAAACGGATAGATACTTCTCTGTTAGTGCTGAATATATTTGTTACCCCGCGCGGCAGTATGACCAACCGAGGTAACTTGGCCATTTGTCTAATAGTCCATGACCAGAGCGACGTTCCGGATTGGGTTTCTTTCTTGTCGTGCCTATACATCCCTTCCTCTCGGAGAAACAGCAACCTGTTCCCAATCGGGGCCCGCGCTCTGCCGTGACACCCGACCATGGAATCGCAGTTAGCGAAGTTTCCAGCGGAAAATTTGTACGGGTAAAATGGCCCAGGGTATACGTGGGGCGTTCTGGCTTGCTTCAATCGCTTCGGAAGCGAACTCCTCACTACCCTCAACGAGCAGAACAGAGCGCTGGGACCATGGAAACATGAAACGGTGTTCGCAAGCCTTCGCCGCTGCCCTGTACCTCCGCCGTAATAGGCACTTGTGAGGCTTATTCCATCAGTCAAGATTTATGTCTTGGAGGCGAATCCGCATTTATCGCAAACGTTGGCTTCACGTACGTCGAAACCACTTGTGCATGTGAGCCAATCTACTCAACGTGACCCGCATAGTGTGTCGTTAACCTTTGACGATAAGTCTTGCTCAGCCTCACGACCACAGAGTTGATTTTCCTCCCAAGGTGCGAGTCGAGTTTTTCCTCCGCACCGCTGTGCACCCTCCTCGAACCCTCATCCAATCGGATTAGGTAGGCATTTTTTCGATGGGGAGCTCAGAAAACGGTCCATTACCACCCGAGCCGCGGCTCGCAACAAGACTTTGCTATTTGTGGCTCTTTTCCACGCACAAGGTTCAGAGGAACTTCATCTCGAGTCTGAACAATGACACCTTCCCTCAGAAAGGAACGACTTTGGTTTGTGTATCAGTCACAGGAAGGAACGGTGATGACGGTAACGGAGCCAATATTCGCAGGGATCGAGTTGACCACCAACGCTCGGATTGGCGTGATTACTCCAATATGGAGGGGAATTAATGACGTACTCTATCAGTTTCCGTGACGGCTACCTCATGGGCGACTCGACTGTCGTTACCAGTGGCCATTGTCCTCGCCATAGCGTAATGTCTGCTGGGGGAACACGTTTCATCGTCTACGTGCCTTCATACGGCCACGATGAGGGAACGCTCTCCGATGTTCCGCCGCCAACGACGGCTCCCACCGCTTTGGAGGTTGCGATGTTGCCAACTCGGTATTGCTTCTCCGGCACGCCCAGCCAGGCAGCCCGAAAGGAACCACCGCTGAATAACCCCACAGTTTTCAGCGGTTTCGAAGCCGTATGACAAGAGATCGAATCACATCCTCATTCGAACGCCGGTATCGAGACACTGCGATTGGACTCGATTGGAAAAATCCGCGGAATCCGCAAGGATCCAGCCGTCGTGTTCGGGAATGACCTTATAGCACACGGCGTCGCGCGTCGCATTGTCTGGAATTCGGGATTTGGGTGAGGGACCGGAAGCCGATTGCCTTCGGAGTTTCATTAAGACACTGACGAAGTCAAGCAAGCCACACGACAGGCGCAAGGATATAATTTCTAATCATGACTTGTCCTTCCCCATGAGCGAACTGAGCCGGCAGGGCTTCGAACATTCGCTCGCGCGCGCGCCGGGGCTCACCACGTATCCGCTAGGGCACTCCCGACACGAGCGGAGTGTTCATGAATGACCAATTCCATTAGAACGATCTGTCATCGTTTCTTCTCAGAGCTCCGACCCTCACAAGCGGGAAGCTAGGAGAGAACGCCGCTTGAACCAGAATGGTATCGATAATGATAACGGGGATGACGATGATAGGGAGTCCGAGCGAGACTAACTAGAGGACGGTCGTTCTAGCTCGCGGAAATTCGGTCCGGGAAAACTCACGCTGCTCCGCCGTGCACGCCGCGGGAAAACTCTGACATCGAACTTTGTGTCGCGCTGTCTCGAAATAATGCAATCAGACAAGAACTCGATTCCTCCCCTCCCCGCGCGGGGCGCTCAGGTCGCAGGTCTGCGTCTCGTATCTGAGTTCCCAATCTTGACTCTTTTCTTCTCGATCGTTTAATTGAAACTGATTTCACCGACTTCTCGACATCATCACATAATTCTATGATTCGGCTCTTGCACGGTCGGACGGAAGCGAAATGTCTGGCGACCGGCGGTCCGTGCGGAAGATTGTTCAGGGAGCGAAAGACTGGTACTCACTTCGATTTGGGGGGCATTATGTTTTCATTGTCCTTCTCTTCACGGGTGGCATGACGTCCCTCAAGCGACGCTTTTGCCTGGACCAAGTCCTTGGTGATCTCTCGATCCTTTTCCTTGTACGTTGATGACCCAGGAGTGGAGCAAGCATCGTCTTTGTCGCTTAGAGTACGGCCCCACGAGCGAAGGATTCCTGAGGATGTCGGTCGATCTTTCGTTTCGGCCGAAACCGGCATCTCCAAGCCGGCCTTCTGTAATGATGATAGAGATCTTGTTACCATTAGGCAGTACGGCGAAATCAGGCCATCCATTTCCGAAAGGGGAATCTAGCTATCGACCGCCGTTCCCAACGCGAATCCAGTCTCTTGAAATTATGAATTCCCCGCGGAGGGACGCCGACGGTGCCTCATCTAGAGTTCCCTCATCTAGCGTTATCAGCGTGACCCCCATAGAGTCGGGTGATTGAAGCCGAACCAGGAGCGAGAATATCAACACCGAGATGTGGGCTCGCCATCATCATATTGGCCCAAACCGGCGCTGCTACTATCTCGTGGTCCCTATCGGCTCAGTATGCGCAGATTTCACTGAATGAAATCGTACTATGGAACGTTTACTCTAGCTTGTCAACTCGTTCGGGAGAGAAATGTCTTGCGCGACCCCGTAATATGCTTCCCGATCGGGTGCTACGCTCCGAGAAGGGCTCACGGATAGTTTCCTTTCTGGTTGGTCCAGTGCTAAGTGTCCGTCTGACTGACGGAGAAGCCGCCGACGCAGAAACGGGCGGCTGCCTCGTCAAGGGAGCCCCTGTTCATTGTCTCGTTCTCGTCTCGTTGAGCAGCTTCAATCGGTATCGATCCACGGAGAGCATTCCACATCGTTCGCGGAACGAAAGTATAATAACTTCACTTCATGGACTGACTCGTCCAACAAATGAATGATTTCCGTAGTGAGTGGTAGTCTCTCGAAAACAAAGCGTTCATCGAGGATGGAGCCGATGAAGCCCTCGGAACTTTGGGAACCTGCTGTCAAGAAGTCGGCGTCATCGATCGGATCTAAATCAATGTTGACGGCGAGCTCGATCTCTGCCGACGCTGCTGCGCGGCGTCAAGTAGAGTTGCTTGCGGCTGCTCAAGTGGAACATGCTGTGCATTGATAGATGCATCTGTCGTCTAGGTGGGCATCGGGCCAAAAAGCAACAGCACGCACTTTGACGACAGCCTGACAAAAACGACCTTGCCAAGGAACCAGCAGACAATGCCCACTCATTCGTGCGCTCACTCACCGCTTACGCCTGTCTCCGGATCGTACTTCGAACCAACTGAACGCATTGAAAAGAGGACTTCCCAGCAGGAGGTCACCGCAGGTTACTTCGATCTTCAGCTTCGTGAGGCCGACTTCGGTTTAGAAACGCGCCCAAATGGTTGGAGTGGAAGTCTTGGAGAACAGAGCGACCTCCGTGCAGAGCTGATTCCCTGACGGCGGATGAGCGGGATAGGATCTCCTCGTGGGGAGACCGGGTTGCAAAGTACACCGTTCGACCAGGCAATCCGGGAGTGACGTTGGAGACACTGGGGGAAGGAAGTTTTCAGAGAAGCAACTATCATTATGGATAGATGGCCATTTCTCGATTCGTTACAGAGGTTCTCTTTTAGACCGCCCATATGAAATAATTATCATGGGTCAGATGTTGACAGACTCAGAAGTGGTCCCTAGTTCTCAAATTGGGAGGGCATCCTCTCGAGATTCACGTGAAAGTCGAGGGGCCTGCCGAAACGGAACGCCTTCGGCTCCGAACCTTGGGTCACGAGGACGCTCCCCGAGCTTGCTCCTGCGCCCGAACATTAAGTCGCCGTCGCATTTCAAATCGTGCCGACCGCCGCCTTCCACGTGCCAATGATTCGAAGTTTCCAAGATCTGAGACCTCTTCCCCATGTAAGCGAAGGAGACGGTCGCGTCTGTGAATCCGTAATCGGTATATTCTGAGTTTCCGTTGGAGGCTCTGTGCGGCGGAGCGCGGTCGCTGCGCAAATACATATAAAAATTCGTGCATCGCCAAGCAGAACCAATGACTGAGAGCGCCGACACCGCACAGTTCTCCAACACTCCCATCAATTCTTATTCCTGTTCCTCAACGCCCTTATGCGCATACCAGAAGACATACGGAAGCGCTACAGGTCTTCGGGGATCGATGAGGATACCCTCAAGCTATGCATACAAAACAAACGAAGATCGTCCAGCGTCCTTGCAGAGTGTCGCAGCGTATGCGTCTCATTTCTCCCCGTCACCATGCCCCGCTCGTCATCTTCATCTTTCTCCTACATGTAAACCTCGCTCTCGACTTCTTTTCAGAGCTTCTGACGCCGGCTCCCGCCCCGAGCGCTCTTCCCGAGTATCCTCCGTCTTGGCGGGAAACTCGGGGCTCGGAATCTCGCTTTGGATCCGGAAGGGGATCTCCTGTGTTCGAAATACGTATTCCGCTCAGCGACACGGATTTCTCGCGACCGATCCTCTGCATCATGGTCTCCGGCTCGAGATCAGCTGCCCATGAGAGTCGGCATCCGTTCAGCTCATCGGATGTGCGTCCCGCGGTTCCCCACGCTCGCGATCGTCAACCGGATGACTCTTCCGAAGGGTTCCCAAATGACGGCAAGCTTCTGCTTTATGTGTCGTCGCCCCTATGCCTCCCCGCCTCAAACCTCCTCTTCTCAACCCAGTCTTGTCTTCCTAGAGGAACTCCCCCTCCAAGGTCTACGATGACGTAACTTCGAGTTCCATTACCTGGTGAGTATGACCTAGCAGTCAAACCAGCTGACAAATTTGACGCAGCAGCAGAGATATATAATCAACAAGGGGTGTCTCGTGGGGTTCAGAACTAATTGTGATGGATTCACTCTCGCACCTCGAATTATTGTACACTACATTTCGCCTGATTCTCCTCCGCAAGAGAGCGACCTCGGATTGGCCCAATGTCGACAGGCTCTGCTGGCCCCAGAGACATCGTATATTTCTCGAAGAGCAAAACGCAATCGTTCGGAGAACTCGTGAGTTAGAGAGTGTCGAGACTAATAGACGAGGTCTCTCGGAGGTCAGCAATGATCAGGGTCTCGAATTTAATTGCAAAATTAGGGAAGCGCGGTACGCCCCTTACAGTGTCTCTTGACGCGTCGAAGTTCTGAGTCAAATTGGAGTGTGTGTTGCAGGCATCGTCATCTAGGGTCTAGACAAACTCGGCATTCCGGCCGTCAGGTCCCCCAGATACCTCTCAGTCTAGGCTTCAGAAATAAGATTCAGTGGTGGGTGGAGAAAAGAGCGTCGGTCTTGTCAAATAGAGCAAGTAACAAGCGACCGAAAGTCCTATTCAAGTTCGAGACACAGTAGCCGCGGTCTCGGACGACATCCCTCAGCTGAAAGCGACCATTCATTCAGTCATTCATCCATTCAGTCAGTCATTCATTGAAGCCTATTTGTAAGAAGGCCGAGGGAGCTGTATCATCGGCGGCGGCAGAAGCGGAAGGGAACACCGACATAGAACAAAGCCCGCGAACGCATCAAGTGGCTACTCCGTCGAGATACGAGAATCTATTGGAAGTGACCGCCGTCGGATATCATTTCGTCAACTCTATATATGTACATTGCTGGAAGTTCCTGCACTACAGGACTCATCTGGTGGTCCGGTTGCAGAATGATACGTTTCACGACACACTGAGCCATCCTCTCTCGCTAGATCGATAGCAGAGGAGCCGAAAATCAGCCTCTTAGCGGTTTCGGGGCCGACACCTAGGAGCTGTACTAACGCCATTTCGCTCTCACTGAGTGTAACGGTGGTTGCGCTACCTCGAATACAACAGTCCTCATTGTTGAATGCATCAACTCCGCCGATTTGCAAACAGCTCCAGTGAAGTGATCATGGGTGCTGTCCGCCATAAGATTGCCGGGATTCGGAAGATTTCCGATTCTCCAGCCACGATAATCACGATAATCTGTATGGAACTGGGAGTCGCTAAGCACTCTCAGTATGCGACCCGAAAGGGTGCGGATCCGAAGAATTTCCAAGCGCTGCGTGTACGCTTCCGCTCTGATTGATCCGGATGTTCCCTTGAACTGAGGCCCGTCCTTTTATCATTTGCTGATGCCGCCCTGTGACGATGATGGATCATACAATCCAACGACTCGGGGCTCGAAATTATATTCCTTTGCTTTCAATAGACATTGATTGACTCATGCTTTCGCTTGAGCACCACGGCAGGAAACTTGCAAGCTGTAGGTCACATGCGTTCTGCCGTCTATCTCAATTGACGGATCACGCGCGCCTCACGTTCCTTCTCAAGCGGAGGGAGATTCACCCCTAATCGAATCAAGAAGGGTCCGACCTCGTTCGAGCTGGCGTAAGGTACCTCACAGGCAGGCCAGGATCTCTGGATTCGAGATGAGACTCATCAAGCGCAGTGAGAGTTTCTCGGTTCAGGTCCGTCAACGGATTTCCTCATGCAGGTCAGCTGCTTGGAGAGTCTCTCACAACCTTATCCAACAGGACAGACAGCCTGAGCAAGACCTCTTCTACCGAGATTCACTCGATAATGATTCAGAGAACTTCTCGCTCCGCTAGCGTAAATTTCCGAGTTTCTCCCAAAAACCAATTTCGAATGTTCCACTCGAGATGTCCGCACCGAATTTCTGTGAGCAACTGATATTCGGCCCCGAATCAAATGTATTCTCTCGCTATTTTTTCACAACATTCTGCCAGCCGTTCGCCGTCTGATCTGGCAACAATGAAGCGTGGCGTCGCAAAGCCCATGAGTTCTGTCTTGCGCCTTCGTTTCCTACACGAATATCCCAAGGAATTTGTAGCTTCGTCCCCTCTAGGGAGCTCCCGAATCCTCGATTCTGTCTAGACTGCGAAGTTGTCGTCGATCCTCGACAGTCAATTAGAATTCGGCGAATGGAATGCGCGATGATCATCGGCCAGGGGGCGTGTCCAGAATTGGAGCGACTTCCGCGAGTAAACTCGATTCGATGTTCCATCGGCTCCGGAAGACAGTTTCATCCTAGTGCGACTGGGCCGATTCCTCCATAGCGGACGTCCGGTACTCACCTTCCCGCGGATTTAAGACCAATTAAGAATTCATTCTGCTTTCATAATCCTCCCTTCAAGGTTGCAACACAATCACAATCGAAGCTGAAGAACGAGAGCGTGGATTCAGTTCAGCTGAGATCGCTCACTCGGCACACAGCCTGA